TAATATATTTAAAGTTATAAAAAATACTCGAGTGTCCACCTAAGCTTCAAACAAATCTCAGCAAAAGGTACGCTCAGATGCTTGAATTCTCGTCGATTTTTAGTTTGTATTATGTCGTGTTTAGTTAATTTTATACTGGTATGTAATTATATTGTCCAAATTGTAAGGTTTGAAGAGGTGAATAAGGCAATGAATGGAGGATTAGTTATTCATTAAGTGAAATTGAAGTGAAATGTGAGTCTGATGATGATAGTATGACTTCTGTGTTGCGATGAACTGCAGATATGGGGTACCTTTCTATTCACTTCCGAATCTGTGAACGAAGACCATCCCGACAAGATTTGCGACAAGGTTTCATATGCAATCCTTGATGCTTGCCTAGAACAGGATGTTAGTAATGTTGAATCCCACACGGAATGGCGAATACAATTGGAATGAATATTTAAGACTTTCATAATCCACTGTCTGTGGCAATACGTGACTTTGACCGTCCGTGCGATGCATTAAGATGTACCTAACCTAATTTGCCAGCTTTATTTAAAGGAGAGGCAAGCTGTTTATTTCAAAAGTTATAATAATAAGGGTTTTAATTTCTGATTTTTCATTAGACCCATACCTTTTTCAAGCCTGAGCCTTATTAGCTTTTCAATTCTCTCCATAGTTCACAATCCACCATCAAAAAGTGTTCTAAGTTATTCTCTACTTTTCAATCAAGAAGAGTAATATCGCCGACAGTTCACTTCGATTTCGGGTGTACGAAATCTCGGAGTGACCGTACTAACTTCTAACTTCAGGGGACGATTCGTCTATTGAAGAAATTACACACATTGGAACGAATTAATTTATAAGATAGTGGTTTTATCAGGACACTTTCAATATTTAAATTATTATTTATTTTTCAGTTAGTGCTAACGACGTAATTTTATAATCAATATTTCAAACACAATACCCAGAAAGCAAAGTGGCTTGTGAAACTTGCACCAAGACAAACATGGTTATGGTCTTTGGCGATATCACGACCAATCGCAAAGTCGACTACGACAAGATTGTTCGAGATACTTGCAGAGGTATTGGGTTCACATCAGCGGATGTTGGCCTTGATGCCGACAATTGCAACGTTCTCGTTAATATCGAACAGCAGAGCCCCGATATCGCTCAAGAAGTTCACAGTCACCTCAGAAGAGACCGGAGGAAATCGGAGCCGATGACCAAGGTCACATGATCGGTTATGCCACATATGAAAACCCTCTATTGATGCCTCTAACACGTGCTTGCAACTAAGCTTGGTGCCAAGCTCACTGAAATTAGAAAGGACAGGACATGTCCATTGTTGAAGCCCGACAGTAAGACCCAAGTGACGGTCAAGTATCGAACGAGATATACTCAACAAGATGGACCTCACCAATGAAAAAATTGCATGGGACTTAAAGATCATTAATGTTATTCCAGCAAAGTATCTTGATGACAAAACCATTTTTCACCTCAACCCTTACGGTATAGGTTCGTTATTGGTGAATTTCATGGAGATGTCGGACTCACCGATGAAAAATTATAATCGATACCAATGGTGGCTGAGTGCTCATGGTGGAGGTGCCTTCTCAGGAAAGGACCCTATAAAGGTGGACCGTAGTGGTGCATATATTGTTAGGCAAAGCTGCAAGATGTGGTAGCATCGGGGCTTGCACGTCGCTGTATCGTGCAAGTTTCTTACGCTATTGGTGTCGCTTAACCATTGTCGGTCGTCGTCGACACATACACGACAGGCAAGATTCCAGTCCTCGGACAAGGACATCTTGCGACTAATCAAGAAGATTTTGATTAGTAGGAGAATGATCTCTACCAAATTTTGACTTGAAGAGAGGAGGCAAGTTTAGGTACCAAAAGACCGCTTACGGACATTTCGGACGCGATGACCTGGATTCACTTGGGTTAAGCCTCTTAAACCAAGGCACAAACACGGGCTTAGCTCCATAGTTTGCAAATAGTTTACTGTCGTAACTATGATTCCGGCATACGTACCTACATGCATGCATCCATCCATACATGCATATATGCATTATGTAATGATACTGATACTGATACATACTAAGATCAGAGGTGACTCTGTAATTTGTTTTTCATTCTGTATTTTTTTTTTTTTTCATGCTTTGTTTTCTCAAAAAAAAAATAGATAAGGGTATATATTTCACAATATATATATATATATATATATATATATATATATAATTTTCGTGTATTTAAATTTTCGATAGTAAATATTGTTGTTGTTCTTTGAGGTTTTCTAGGTTCGAGCATCATGAATATCATGACTTTTGATGTTCAGTTGAAAGTTACCTTTAAAAAATATTATCTTATACTTACCTCATATTAATAAAAAAGGAGAAAAGATACTCGTTTAAAGATCACATCGTTCATTAGACTTGTCTATAGATTGAATCAGGCTGAGGTTTTGATTTCTTTTGAATTATTGTATAGTTAATTTTACGACCCGAATTCATTATCCATTTAATGTTATATATAATATTATTCAGTGTAAATTATATACATGAAAAAAATTGGGTTTAGTTTCAATTATTTACCATAACACTTTGAATTTTAATTTAATTATAGATATTTTAAAAAAAACATATCTATTTATTTTTATGTTGAATAAATATAATTATTTAGATAGAAATATGTAAATTAAAATGTTGCTAGGTAAACATTAGAGTTAGCGATCTGTGAAGATTAAATCAAATCAAACTCAAAAACTATTTTTAGCTTTTCTAATTTTTTTTTTTGTTGAACTACATGTCATTCAATTACTAAATCAGCTACAAACAAGTTATGTTTTTTTTCAAAAAAAAAAAAATGTAATTTATCACTCATTAAAGGATTATTATAATATGTGTTAAAATTGAATAGACTATTAATATTGTATGGTATAATAATAATTTTAATCTCAAAAACTTATATATTATATAAATTTAGTCATAATTTAAAATAATTCGATAAATTTAACCTTTTATATTTAAATAATTCATCAATTTAATATTTTTTTACTATATAATTGGACCAAGTGCGTACATAGGATCAATAGTAGTTAGATAAAAGCGTTATACCATAAAACAACAACAAAAATATTTATTAAAACTTTCCATCAATGAATACTAATTATTTGATTGATCAATCTCAATTTGCATTCTTACGATGTACTTGTGTAACAAAATTTATGATTTAGAGATAAGATTAGTCGATGGTCGATAAAGTAATCTCTTAGTGTTTCAAAAACAACAACAAAACGTGAAAGTTTATATTATCTAAGTGTATGGCAAAAATAAATTATATAATAGAGATTTTGTCAACTCTTGTTTTCTCTCGTTCGTAAGTTGTTCATCCCTTTTCTTTTTTATTTTTGTTGATAGATGGTGGCGCCAATTTCAATGTTGGGTTCCGACCATCGATATTATTTATTATCCTTTTATTTTATTTTGTTTATTTTTCAACAAGTCTATATGTTTGACACATTTTCATCTGTCTTTATGACACGTTTTCTTCTATCTTTTGACACGTTTTTCAGTTTTTAGCCATTGTTTTCACTTATATTTTTCTAGGGTTGATTTGACATCGCCATAGCTGATTAATATGACGCTTATATGTTATATTGTTCTTTACTGCTTTCGACCCTTAGATAGAATTTGGATACCCGTTATGCGTTCGTGGATAGTTTTTCATATTGCTTGAGTCTAATTTGTAGTTTGTCAATGATCTTTTCATAGTTTTGTCTCCTTTTTAGATTCGTTTGCCAATGCGATCAGATCTGTTTGTATTTATCTTAGTTCGAGTTTTCTTGGTTAGATTTATATTTCCTTGTATGGTCCTTATGTGATCTTAAGTTGCTAGTTTTGTTTCAATGATTATAGGAAATTATACTAATTGTATGCTTAATTTACAATTATGATTATAAATCTTTATTGAATTTATGATATTTTTATTTTGAATAGAATTAGTGATTTTTATAAAAAAAATATATTTCTGATTTTTTTTAGAAAAAGAACAAATGATTTGAGAGAACAAATATTGAATTGATATAAATTTTAAATATGATAGACTAAATTTATTGAATTATTTCAAATTAAGATTAAATTAATATAATTTATTTTAAAAATTAAAATTGACATTATATTAAATCACATTAAACTTCTATTTTAATTTTAACAATGAAATAATATGTATGTAATTATATTTTAAGTAAATAAACTAAATATAATTTTTGAAAACATTGCATTGTATAATCGAACTAATAATTAAATTACTTAAAATATATTTTAGTAAAACAAAAATACATATTATTATATTTATTTCCTTGGTTAACTTGTTTGGAAAGCAAGGCAGACACAGTTTTACTGTAGCAATGGCGAGCTCGAGTTGCCCGACTGAACCCTCTTCATGTAAAAACTCTTCGCGCTTCAAATTATATAGGCAAACTTGCAATCTCGCGCGTTCTCTCATGGCAATTCCCCTTTAATTAAAATCCTTCATCAATGGATTCCTTCATTTCATTCGCTTTACTCTTCGGCAGCCGGCCCTTCTCCGCTCTTCTCTTCACTACACCAAAGCAGTAAGGGCTTCTACTGGATTTACTAATTCATTTATCATATCTTGCTTCGAATTTTGTGTAATTTCCTTTTATGGTTTCTTTAGTTTACTTGATGAAACTTCATTTCATTGCGTATCTTCGTTTTCTTAGCTTAGTTTTATATACATTGTTTTGATGGAATATACAGGTTTTGTTCAATTGCTTGTTTCTTTCGTTTTTTTTTGTTCTGAATTGGGGAAGATTGATAGTATTTTGGCTGTTTTTGATTCAGTGATTTGATCTGACCTTAGTTAAATTTCCCAGATCAGTCCAAGATGAGCAGCTCTGATTTGAATCCTTCCAACGACCTTTCGGTTTCTGATTACCTAGCACAAGAGACCTTCAACTGGGTAAGTGGAAAAGGCACAATGGCCAAGAAACTATGGCCTTCACCAGGCAACCTTGTTCTTTCCTGTCTGTTTACACACACACACATATATACATAAGGCAATAAGTACTACTGAATTTATTTCATTTGCATCACCTTCTACCCAAGTACACATTTATTGCTTTGGTTTTGCTGAATTTCCTTTAATGCTGGTTCTTTAATTGCTTGAGGAAATCTCGTTTCATATCGTATTGTTAGTTTATATCTAATTGTTTGAAAGAAATTTCAGTTTCCTTTACTTGCTTCTTTCTATTTTTGTTCTGCAAATGGGAAAATCGCTAGTGTTTTTGGCTGTTTTCTAACTAATGATTTCCTCTGATACGAGTTAAATTTCCCAGATCTGCTTGAGCTCGGCAGCCTTGGCACTGTTTTGGACAGCGACAACTACAATGTGTCTGCTTTGTCTGTAGACAAGTTTGCACAGTCACTTCTAGAACAGGGACTGCCCGACGACATCCAGGAGACCTTGTTGACCTCGATGCCAAGTGGAAGCAACATAAGAGGCCACCATGGAGCGATATTGTATCCAGTGACCAGCAGTTGAACTCATTGAGCTTGATGCTGAGTGGAAGCAACAAAAGAGACCAACATGGGGTGAATGGGCAACAATCGTTGGCCAATGACAACCAGGTGAAGTCGTTGAGCTCGATGCCAAGTGGGAGCAAGAGAAGAGGCCGGGAATTAGTTTCTGATGACTCATCAAAACCTAAAGGAAAAGGCAAAATGAAACAGCCCCAGCGCAGAAGAACCATTGTCAACGGTGAATCAGCACCGACCAGTAAAGCAGTGCCACTGAGTTATGAGGACCGTATCAAGGAGAAATCTGTGGGGGAAAGTGCGAAAATTTTGACAGATCGAGTCTCCAAAAGGACAGAAAGCGTAAATTCTCTTACCTGAACTGAGTACATCATATTCAATTCACATTATTGTTATTTATTATATACATATATGTCGAAGGTAAAATTTCCACATTAATTAGAATGTATTGGACTCTGCTTTATAAAGCAAGGGTTATTCCTACCCTCACCTTATTAGATACAACTGTCAACTGTGAGGACAGTTCTCCCTTCTAAAGGGAATAATACCATAAAGTCTATCAACTAGTAATTGAAATTATTGAACTATAGCCTTTGTAAGCAGAGGCCTATCCTTTTCTCATGAAGTGCCTTTTAATGAAGGGAATAATACCTTCAATCCTTGCATTGACACCGTCTGTATGTTGTAAGGTGATGGCCCTGCTAGGTGACTTATTCCTCGCCTACGACAAAATGCCATGGACAGCTAGAGCCCAAGAATTGAAGGCAGATTCGAAAGCTATGAGAGGTGAACTTAAAAGAATTAATCGATATATAATTAACATACTGGTCAAATGCAAGAAAGGTAGATTAACAGAAGAAGCGGCAAAGAAGAGATTGGTGGGTGCACACAATAGGTTAAATAACTTCCTACAGGTAAGCTACTGTTCATAGATCTCAAATTTTGATTTCATAATCTAAATCTCTAATTTAACTTCGTAACTTTGTTTTTCAGAAAATTGAAAATGCGAGGGAGGGATTAAAACAATCAACCGGGTACGCTAATGTTGACGAATCCAGTTACCATGTTAGATTTCACGACCTAAATCTCTAATTTAACTGTTTAACTTGGGTTTTCAGGATCTGGAAAAAACAAGGAACCTTGATGCAATCTTCGCTAAGAATATGGTATGTATGTTTCATATCATTGATATTGACCAACGTAGTACTATTATTTCTTGAAAAAGATGAACATTCTCATTTATAAATCACATTATATGTATATCATCTTTCCCTGCACTAGTCCCGTTTTAGGAAAGCCATTTTCAGCTGTTACTTGAATGTGAGTGCAAGCGTTGAATATGGATTTATTCCTTAAGCATGTATGTTCAACTTTTTCGAATTTTTTTCATATTTAGTCATAGTCCTATTCAATACTTATGTCGAAATGTGTCTTTACATTACTTTATTTATAAATGACATCATAATATAATGTCTTTCTCATGGGATTAGACTCGGCAAAATTAACCAATAATGTACAAGGGAAAAAAATTTCCCCAGTTAATGCATCCCCAAGATTATTTTCTCAAGTAGTCTTTTGACCAATATCACGGAGAAGATGCCCGGAACAGTTGACGTCTTCATGAGGACGCAGATGCTCCCATGGTCGGTGTACGCCCATGCATTCCCTCTCCATGCTCCTTTGTCATGCAGAAGATGCCGGGTGATCCTTGCGTCTTCCCTGGACATGCAGAAGACGCCCACTACTCCTTGCGTCTTCCCAGTGCTACTATTAAAAACACCCCAATTGAGAAAATAATTTTTGGGATGCATTATATAGGGATTTTTCCCCACTACGGGCAAATTTGCCGCTAGACTCTTTTCATACCTAGCAAAAAGCTGTTTTCAACTTTTTCCAAGTTTTTATACATTTTGAGAAACTTGGAGCATCATATTCTAAACTGATATCCGAACATGTGTGAAATTAGTTGTTCAAGTGTCATGGATTTTCAGTATGATTATACCAGAAAACTTGATGTTTAGGAGTCTCTCCCTGCTGCTCGAGTCCTGCACTGCCTTTTGCATCGAATCAGTGTTTTGAAATTGGGAAAAAAAATGCAAATCTTACCTTACTAATTTGTTCTCTATCCATACCTTATTTAGACTTTCCTTTGTTTACATCTTGATCATTTATTTATTTATTACGTAAATTTCAGGATTTCAGCTCAGAGTATCTAAGAGAAAAGGTACGATATATACATATACCTATACTATTAATAATTTTCGGTGTACATAGCACTAATATATCATTGTTTTGATGACATGTTTTTATGTTTGTTGTTTTAGTTGGCTTCTGAAATACCATTTGATATCAAAGAACTTGATCTGGTTGATTTACACTCTAAATTTAGTAATTTTAAGAGCCGACTTTATGACAAAGAGAACAACAAAGTGGATATTCAAGATTTCGAGGGCTTGCAAGAGGCATTGAACAGAGCTGGCTGGGGGAAAACTCCGAACCACCTGGAACAAATTGCTATGGAAGTCGAAACGGCTATTGGTAAACAGATTAACAACCCGTGTATCCGAGTTCTGCTCTCTGCTGCAATCAAAGAGATGAAAGATTTGAAAGTCGATGAAATGGAGCGGGATATGTGTAACATGTTTAAAAAGTGGGCGGCCACGTTCAATTACGCCAAGGAAAATGGTTTTTCATGTGGAATTTGCTTACATAAAGCTGGAGAAAAACTTGCGTGCCTACCTGTCTTATCATGGGAATTAGAAAGGGAAAGGTTTGGGAATCGTATATGGCCGAGCTGTCATGGTTGTAAATCAAGAGTTGCAGTTGCAGAAAGATCTTTTGTAAATTGCCAGGGACTTGGTTTCGATATTTGCTTCTCTCTGTCTGATGTTATTGGTTTGTATCTGATCTCGTACTTTCCTCGATCTGAAGTGTGTGGTTTTTTGTATCTGGACTCTTGAATTCGAATCTTATTCGTGTATTTTATGAATTTTATTTTGTTGTAATCGTATTTATACTGTGCTTTCAATATGCCAGCTTTTGAATTTGTACGGTGTCTATGTTTTGTTGTGTTATACTCGTATCGTATGTCGTATCTAAAGTGTATTATGTTTATAGATATTGGTATGTATTTCTTGTTGGAATTATTTTTGGCATCTCATTCTGTGTCACGTGGGTATATTGTTATAATTTGAGTCGGGCTACTTTGAATTTTTATTAAATAATTTGGGGTAATTATGAGTAGTATGTATTTAGAATTTTTTAATCTATTGATAACGTACGCACACTTTGTAGGTACATTTGTTCGAAACCATGACTTTTAAAGATAATAACATTTACTTTTATTATTAAGACCACTTGATGGGTTCGATGTTAAAACTTTTTTTTATTCAAGATAGACTCGTAGTTTTATTTGTCATACCCATTTAAACTTTTCTTATTTTTCAAATGTATGTGTCTATTACATGAACAATTCGGATCTAACATGATAGAAAAATAATAATATTAAAATTTAGGAGGATAATTTATTTTGATTAACTCGTAATCCAATATATTCGTATTGTGGGTATAAATGTACTTAAAATTCGATTAATATATTTTAGTATATTTTATGTTAGATCTAATTGATTTTAATACGTACTAATAATTAAATTAATAGAAAGATTTGATTGATAAGATGTTAATAGTTTGAGATAAGGTTAAAATATATTAAAATTTAGAATCAATTTAACAATTTGGATCATAATTGAAGGACGTCTAACATAATTAATCCCATAAAATTTGATTAAAACTAAAAAGTTCTCCGTTGTCTTATTCGCTCCCACGTGGAATTTTCCGATCGAGGGATCAGGATTTTGCCGATTCTTAGCTCTAAGCCACGTGTATAAAAGAAAACGTTAAAATAAACAAAAAATAAATAATTTCATTAATTTCTATTTGAAATTTTTATTTACGATACCATAATATTTTAAATATTATTTTCGTTTTTATTTCATCATTATTGTTTGATTTGTTAATCAGATTTCAGATCAAAACAACAAAGATTTATAATTTATTAATCTTTTAGTTATAGAGAATTGATTCGATGTAAGTAGTGTAATCGAAACTTCAAAAATTACTAGTGTCGGATTTTAAATAGAGAAAATCGCCTCAGTGACCAAAAAAAAGTTATAATATACGATTTTAACCAACTTTTTTTGGATTTGCCAAAATGACCAACAAAATCGCAACGCGAAATAAAAATCGCAACGCGATCCCCAGAATCGCAAATCAGTTTCCAGAATCGCAAATCAGTTTCCAAAATCGCAACGCGATTCTTGAAAATCGCGATGCGATAGTACAAATTCGCATTGCGATTTTCCAAAATCGCAACGCGAATATGAAAATCGCAACGCGAACACATAAATCGCAACGCGTATCCGTAAATCGCAACGTGTATCCGTAAATCGCAACGCGTATGGGTAAATCGCAATGCGTATCCGTATATCGCAACGCGTATCCGTAAATCGCAACGATAATACATAAAATCGCAACGCGTATCCGTAAATCGCAACGCGATATTTAAAGCGCCATTATAATCGCTACGCGTATTTATTTTCAAATTAAAAAGAATATTAAGACAAATCCCGTAATCGCAACTCATAACCTAAAACCTAAAATCACAACTCAGTCCCATCTCCATCTCTCACTCTCTACGGCGAAGAAATCCGTCCCCATCTCCGAAGATTTCCGTCCCCATCTCCGGCGAAATCCCTCACAACCATTCACGGTCAGAAATCCCTCACAATATTCAGAAATGGAAAATCAACCTCCGAGGGTTAGTTTTTTAATTATTTTTATTTTGAAATGTTTGCATTATTGTAGGTTTTTCATATTGAAACTGATGATAAGTTTACTGGTCATTTCAATAATAGATTAACCATTTCACTTAGATTTCATTTCGCGTTACGATTCTGTCGTTGCGATTTTCATTTCGCGTTGCTATTCTCTCGTTGCGATTTTCAAGTTAGTATTTGTCTTTGTCTTTGTTCTGTCTTTTGGTTGAAGTAATGCAATCCATTCAAGTTTCAATTTGCAGAAGAGTCGCAACGAGATAAATGAAAATCGCAACGAGAGAATGACTGTCGCAACGAGAGAATCGCAACGCGAAATGGAAATCGCAACGATAATCGCAACGCGAAACCAAAATCGCATTGCGATTTTCATTTCGCGTTGCGATTCTCTCGTTGCGATTTTCATTTCGCGTTGCGATTCTCTCGTTGCGATTGTCATCTCGCGTTGCGATTCTCTCGTTGCGATTTTCATTTCAACCAAAAGACAAAACAGTGTTGCAAATTTTAGTTTAAAGAATAAACTACTACTTTTTTATGTTTATTGTTTTTGGTATATCTTCACAGTGTAGTTTTTGGTATATCTAACTTGGTATGTTTATTGTTTTTGTAGAAATTTTTTTCGGCTCAATTGACCTTGAGAAATAAAGTCAGCCTGGCCACTACAATTGCAAAGAAGCTTTCACCTGCTCAAAGACAATTGTTTGAGGAAACCTGCTTCGGGCCATGGCTGAGAGTACAGCATCCGGGTGGAGATGCTAATTTGACCCATTTGTGGCTTCAGACCATGACATCAAATCTACCCGACAGTATACAACGTGGTGAGGAAGAGATATGGTTTCATTTTCCACCAGCGTATACTTGCTTTGGGCGGAAGGAGTTCTGCTTAATCACTGGTCTACGATTCGGACACGATGATGTAGGCCGGTACACTCGTCATATCGCCCGCCCATCATGGTTATCCCGGGTTTTTCCGGATGAGTCAATGGAGAAGCCGAACCTACATGTCGACGACCTGAAGAAATTATTTAATAAGAAAGCTGGTTTCACTCGGATGGAAACGTCGATGTTGTCCGAGTATGCCTTCTACTACTTGTGTATGCCGGCTTTTTAGGCAGAGAGGCCAGACAACCTATTCATCGGGAGCTAATATATTGGTAGAGGACCTGAATGCATGGAATCTGTTTCCGTGGGGTTCGTATATATGGAAAGCTACCTGGACTAAGTTGTCGTCTGCCTTTGATGACCGCAAAAGTTTGCGGGGCGATGGGTCCAAATACACTTTGTCAGGCTTTGTTTGGGCCTTTAAGGTAAGAATTTCTATATAATGTTTCTAAAATTATAATTAATTATTTAACATTACTAATTTTGTTATTATATTGTTTGTAGATTTGGATATTCGAGGCTTTCCCCAGCATGCGTACATATGCAATAAAAAACGTCAAATGATATTCCCAGGGCTATTTCCTGGAAGAGGAAAACTCTGTTGGATTGGGAAGACTTAATACCATATGCCACAATAAATAATGTAAACACAAATACTTTCATATAATATATAAACAAGTTATTAATAGTAACGTTTAACTTTGTTTGAGTTTTTATATTTTAGGAGGCCAACATTCCATTACAAAGACTGTCACCCACGGAGGAAGAGCTTGCCACTGATTGGTGGCAAGCTAGTCAGAGTTTTTTGATGGCACGGATGATGAGCAGCATCCACTTCCTCCAATTCGAGAGCCATCACCTCACCTAGAGCCATCCCCGATCGTGACGACTATACACCTCTAGAACGAGAGCCATCACCTATCCCGTCACATCATCGAGCCTCTTCTCCACCATCACCTCATGATAGGCGACCGGCAAAGATGCCACGACTCCTATCTCCCTGTTCTCCACCTCCACCTCAACGGGATGAGTCAAGGGAGTTACGTGATGAGGTCAATGCCTTGCGTGAGGAGATCGGTACTCTACGATAACGATGGTGCATGGCGTGTGGGGTGTCAACTTTACGTGGTGAGGTTGCCGCTCTACGTGAGATGATAGTATCGTGCAGAATGAGGTTCATACTCTACGCAACGAGGTAAGTTTAAGATTTTCCATATTTAACTTAATGATAAATTTACTCGTAATTTCACTTAGATTAGCCATTTCACTTAGATTGCTTAGTAAATTTGTTCGGTTGCTGCCAATTCTGCTAAACTGTGTATTCTTTAACACTGTGAAATAGTATTTGTCTTTGTTTTGTCTTTTGGTTGAAAGTAAATTTGTTCGGTTGCTGCCAATTCTGCTAAACTGTATTCTTTAACACTGTGAAATATTTGTCTTTGTTTTGTCTTTTGGTTGAAAGTAAATTTGTTCGGTTGCTGCCAATTCTGCTAAACTGTGTATTCTTTAACACTGTGAAATAGTATTTGTCTTTGTTTTGTCTTTTGCTTGAAAGTAAATTTGTTCGGTTGCTGCCAATTCTGCTAAACTGTGTATTCTTTAACACTGTGAAATAGTATTTGTCTTTGTTTTGTCTTTTGGTTGAAAGTAAATTTATCCATTCAAGTTTCAATTTGCAGAAGAATTTATAGTTTACTTTCGCAACACGAAACTTAAATCGCAACGCGAAACCAAATCGCAACGCGAAATGAAAATCGCAACGAAAGAATCGCAACGCGAAACCAAAATCGCAACGACAAGATCGCAACGCGAAACCAAATCGCATTGCGATTTCATTTCGCGTTGCGATTCTTTCGTTGCGATTTTCATTTCGCATTGCGATTCTGTCGTTGCGATTTTCATTTCGCGTTGCGATTTTGGTTTCGCGTTGCGATTTTAAGTTTCGTGTTGCGAAAGTAAACTATTTCTTCTTCTGCAAATTGAAACTTGAATGGATTGCATTACTTCAACCAATAGACAAATCAAAGACAAATACTAACTTCAGGGTATTAGTTTGAAACATATTTTTCTTTGTTATCTGATGCATTTTGTGAACTATGATAGAATAATGACTTGGGTGAATACAATGCAAGTTTGAAACATATTTGTCTTTGTTTTCACTGTTTAAATATCATGTCTGTTTATTTACTGATTTTTGTATTTAATTATTTAGCGGCCCGATAGAGTGGATGCTTTACGTCGGTTAT